TTCACTAGATTAGATGGATGATATTTAATTATTTATTCTATGAAATTGTTTAATCGATTATTTTGATTAATGATGAGCATTATAATCAAGAATAAAATATAATTCATTTATTTCTATAATTACTCTTCTTCCTGTGGATTTCGAGTTGAAAATAAGGCTTTAACAACAAAACTTCACTACGTCCTATTCTCTGAGGTCCTCTTTAACTGAGAACACCATTGCCCATACACACTCATCTTCTCCTCCTAAAACGATCTCCTCCATGTCAACCTCACGCCCACATCCAACTAGTCATTTGCGATACAGGTTCAACACGACAGATCGTCTGGTTAGCGAGCAGTGTCACCCATCACTCTTCATTTTCGCCCACATATTTCTCGGTTGAGCGACAGGTTCGCGCCTGCTGGATCGTTCATTGCTAGAGTTTCTTGTTTGCTAATTCTTTCTGGACAGCCAGCTAGCAAGTTATTTGATCTTCAATATGGAGGCAGTATAGGCGGCAGATGAAAATAAAGGTTTGCACTGGTCTGTTGGAAGTGGTTCTCATGACGTGATTGTCAAGTTTCCGATCACATGGAATAACAGACCGATTTGACCATGGTGTTGAAATTCCCAGTTTCGTAACTTACCTTGAGACGGAGTGACGAAGATTTCTCCTCTGATATTATAGTGATGGAGGTGTCCCTTGCTCTTCCGATTCTAAATTCGACTTACTCGTTGATGCAACCTAGCCAGTTAAGTGAAGGAAGTGACGTCTTTAAAATTCCTTTCGTTCATAGTGATTGATGCTTGTTGATGTCGTAGTCACTGTCGGTGGTGGCATATTTTAATCATCTCCATGTTACCTAAATTCACCACCTGGGGACTTGTCATTGCTGCCTGTCTCCTCTGCCAAATTATTTTTTGGTTTTCACCTGCAGGTCTGGACATGCATCATCCACGACATTCAGATCTTTTATAATCTTGTTATCCTCCAAACGTATTCGAATTCTGGCGGGTGTGTACTGATGAAGAGTCTCAAATCAGGACGAAACAGCTGTCCAGTACTCCAAGGTTTTCCAATGGTTCTCTAACTAAAGTCAGCTAATGATGAAATCCTGAAACCAATCAAATCCCTGCAAACCAACACTTGAGTATTCCTTTCTTCTCGCTCCCCACAATCTTCAGTAAAATGTACTCCACCACAGGTAGGAATATCGTCATCGGTGATCCTAGACAGCTAGGCTTGTCTTACCCTAGTATTCACTTAAAAGTCTTCGCTTATTTTTCCATTATGGATCATGTGACACGTGTCATTGTCATATAGCCAGCTGTTGAATGAGGTTGATAAATATATGGCCCATGCCTTCCACAATGTTAAAGTAGTTTCCAGATTAATTTGAGGTCAACGCTGTTTCATCTTAGTGTTTTAAACTTCTGTGTCATTGTTGGAGCTGTAGAAAAGTGATTCAAGGTAATGCACATACGAATAATTTTGAAACGGTGTATCACTTTCAAGTATGACAATCTAAGTAAAAAAAATTAAATATTTATTTGAGAAACTAAGTCTTTAAAGGAATTTAGGAATATGAAACAGTAAGTACTTCAGAAACAACTTCCACTTCTGAACAGTAGTGTCAGTATTCATCTAAACAATTATTCTTCAGGGCACGAGCTAAAACTCTGATTTAGGTTTAAAAGTCTTATTTAGAATTAGACTTGATTTTTCCCTCATAACTGCATTACTGCCTACCTAAACCTGTTCAAGATTTCATCATGGGTTGACATTGGTTAAAGAATTACTGGAGATCCAGCACTCGAGTACTAGAGAGTAAGCTGTTTCCCCAGCCTAATTTTCGACTCTACAGCAGTATACATGCAACGCACTGTCAGAGTCCAAATCGAGGACCTTCCGGTTACAAGCTGAGCTAGCTTGCAGATCCTACAACCACAGGAACCAACCAATCCATGAATTCCAGCTTCTGCCAATTCATGTATGATATAGCGAGAATGACAGCAGCCAATGTTATCGTTGGCGAGTATTCATCCTCACACCCGACTAGCTTTACCCCACTAGTCACGAGTTCCCACTAATAGATACGAAATTGTCAAAAATGAATTTTCAAGTGAAATTTGACTTGATGCATTAAGTATCTTCATACAGAAGTAATTACAGCAAATACATCCTCATATACTACTCGCAACTGGTTATTTTATGAACTTCCTTCCACTTTACCGTCATTATCGTTAACTTTTGATAGAAAAAAGCTCATTTTACAACTGCTTTGCAGTAAAATCTCAATTTAATATACTCCGTTTGACTGTTGAATGCATTAGGAGCAAGAGAAAAACCGAATTCCCGTTACTTATCGTCATATCTATCAATAAGGATGAAGTTTCTGTATTTGTACAACTTCTGTGGTGATAATAATAATAACAGTACCGACAGTTGAGGGTCACAAATTTTCTTACACACTTGGTAAGCATTAACGATATAAATACTCTGAAGCGTAAATGGTTTAACACTTTTCTCTGAAATGTTGCTTTAAGTGGGATGAACTGGAATGGAAGTTATTCAGCAAATACTCTTCTATAACTATTATTATTATTTCCTTTAATTCGTAGAAGAACATAGGGCTTCATCCGCAGGTCTTCATCGCGTTCGGTTCTCTGATAACATTCTCACCTGGCTCCAAGTCTACCCACATACTTTTGTCTCCTCTTCACATGACCTCCTCCAAGTCACTCCTGGACGACCAACTCGCCGCTTCCCATTTGGGTTCCACTCGAGGGCCTGTCTTGTGATGTTACTTGGTGGTTTCCTCAAAGTATGGCCAGCCAATCCACCTCCATTTCTTTTGCATATTTCTTGCATAATTGGTTCCTGCTAAGTTGGTTCGCCCCAGAGATCTTTTCTGGTCATCTGATTTTGAGTATTTATTTATTTATTCTTTTAAAGTTACAAATTTTGTAACCAATCACAAATTAGATAATTTATATTTTTTGACTAGTATTTATCACAATGCATCGGTGGTTCCGTTGGAAGAATGCTCGCCAGTTACATAAGAAATCTGGGTTGGAATTCCCAGTTAACGTACGCCTGAACCTTTCCTAGTTCACTAGGCCCATACATAATAAGGCTGATAAGTGAGAATGTTGGGCATAAGGCTAATAACCCTTACTATGTGTTGTAAACATCAACTACTACCAGAGGAACTTCAAAGCCTTAAATATGTTGCCTTATATTCCATCTGGAATTCTAGCCTTATTTTAGAAATCTAATTTAAATTCCGTTTCATATTTTGAGTTGATTTTGCGTGGATTAAAGAGATGATGATGATTAGTTTTTGCCTTTTGTATTCCCAGTGAAGTACAGAGTTTTAAGCTTTTTTGTCTGAAGTTTCAGTAGCCGTGGTACTGATTTAGGAGAGCGCTAACCGGGGAGATTGCAGTAGATTGTATGATGCGACAAGTAGCGGGCAATGAGGAAACAGGCATTAAATGGACTCATACAAAAAACTTGGAGGATCTAGACTTTGCCGATGAAACATGTCTGATTTCCCACAAACTAGAAGATATGCAAGCCAAAAGTGACAAGTTGGCAGAAGAAGCATCCAGAGAAGTTAGGACTTCAGGTGAACATAGAGAAAACAGAGGTAGGTGATGAAGATTCCTGGACAAGAACAACAGCAACAGACAACGATCAGCATAAACGAGAGGAACCTAAAAGAAACAACCTGTTTTACCTACCTGGGAAGCATCGTTTCAACTACATGCGGACGGAACTGACGAAGATATCAAAGCAAGTATTGGAAAAGCAAGACAAGCTTTCACTACTCTCAAGTCTTTGTGGCGGTCGACAGCACTCAGCATCAAAAATAAGATCCTGATTTTCAACTCCAATGTGAAGTCAGTCAGTGCTACTATACAGATCAGAGACTTGGCGCGTCATAAAGAACATATCAAACAAACTACAAACCTTCATTAACAGTTGTCTTCGCTCAATATTCAAGATCAGATGGCCAGAAAAGATCAGCAACAGAGATCCCTGGCGATGAGCGAACCAACCAGGAACCGATTGTGAAACAAATAGGCAGGAAGAAATGGAGATGGATTGGCCATACTCTGAGGAAACCATCAAGTGACATCACTAGACAAGCTATTGCTCGAGTGGAACCCGAAAGGGAAGCGGCGAGTTGGTCGTCGAAGGGGGACCTGAAGGAGGAGATGAAAACGTGTATGCAGACTTGGAACCAGGTGAAAACGTTGGCTGAGAATCGAACGCAATGGAGACGCGCGGCGGAGGCCTATGTTCCTCTAGGAATTAAAGGAAACTATAATAATAATAAGCGGGGAGAGAACCCATAACCTCTTGTGTAGCTGAGATGACGACAACCATTCTATCATCGATTTCATCATGACCACTGATTATTTTGGTGGCGGTTAAAAACATGAGCTACCGAAAACCTCCATCAATAATATCTCCTAGTCGGTTTGTTTAAATCTAGTAAAATTTGATCTTTTAATGATGTTGTTTACTCTGGCGAGTATTTAAAATATTTACAACCCATCTGATTTCCAAATCGATTCTGCTAAACATGAGACAGAGCATTATCCCGCTCAATGGATGGTGGCTGATCTAAATACATGAGATGACCGTTCCTGAATAGTTTCCTTGGTTCACAAAATGTACTCCTAAACTTTCTATAATTAGTATTCAACAAAATATCATCGTGTATTTCTCGAAGGAGATTGAGAAGAAATATCATAATGGTGGATTGGTTTGCATTTCACGCCAGAAAGAACTGTGTCACACGATCTATTGTCTGTCAGTGGAATCTTTTATTTGAAGATCTTGGATGAAGTGAAAATATCGTCCAATAAACTCTGCCGATATTTTCGGTACATAATATAAACACTGTTCAGAATAAAGCTATTACTATTATTACTAGTAGTATCAGTACTACTAATTATTCTTTAAAGTAGTATAATCAGAGATTTTGTTTTTTTATTAAATTTAGATAAATCAATGCATACAGTATCAAAGAAGCGTAAAAGACAATCCTTTTCAACTGAACCACTGGTCACACCATTGACTAATCAACCTGTTTCAACATTTTCATGTGTACTTATAGCAATTTTATGGTTTCTTTTATTAATGTTTGCCTCTTTAACTATGTATAAGTGTATCTCATTAAACGATGAAATGAATATTGATGAAATCCAATTACAAAGTAAACTTACTGATGAATATGAATCTACTACAAGTGATGATTATCAGATAACACCAGCAATGATAATGAATATAGACAAAGAACAAGTATGTCTACATACTATATATTTTTTTAATTATAGCTTGATTGATTGCATGGGGGATTTCATCATGAGCTGACATCAGTTATAGAACCACTGGAAAACCTGTTTCATCAGCCTAGTTTGGGACTCTTCATCAGTACGCACCCACCGGGATTCGAACCCAGGACCTACGAGCTCGCCTTGTAACCACGAGGTCCTGGTTTCGAATCCCGGTGGGTGCGTAGTGCTGAAGAGTCGCAAACTAGAACGAAACAGCTGTCTAGTACTCCCAGGTTTTCCAGTGGTTCTCTAACTGTTGTCAGCTGATGATGAAATCCTCCATGCAATCAAACGAAATCCCTACCAAACCAATACTTGAAAATATAGCTTGATTACACAAAGTATTTTTGGTACAAGTATGGAATTTTCAGCATGTGATATCAGTAGCCCAAATTTCGCAGGCCAACCATTGATATCAGTTGTGCGTTGGCAGATGATCAAATCCCGGACCATGTGCATGGTCGGTGAAAGTCAGAACCTCCGGGCCACCGACATACCGACGACTCTACAATTTCTAAGACACATACACACAGACACATTATAACTAATGATTTGATTTTGATTATTTAAAAATTTGTTTAAAATTGCCTATTAACTCAATTATGTTTTTACTGACAAGTACAACACTCAGCTCATGATGTAATCCTGTAACTAATCAAATCAGCTGGAATCCCTGAGAACTAATAGTTGAATATTAATCTGATGGTCACTAGAGGCGACTGGCATTATTCAAGTAGCTTCTTCCAGTGGGAAGTCTTGACCAGTGGCGTCATTGGTTGGTGTCAGACGAGCTATATCGTACATGAATTGACAGAAGTTGGAATTCATGGGTTTGCCATTGTACGGAGTAGCAGTGATTCACTTTGTAACAGAAATATTTTGGGTTCGAATCCTGGCATGGCTGGTGGGTGCGTAAAGCTGGAGAGTCCCAGATCAGGGAGACAAAACATCTGGCTGTCTAGTACTTAAATGCTGGTATACCAAACCGATGTCAGCTCATGATGAAATCCTATATACTACACTTATAGTTTATTTAAACCATTGAGGTTGTCTAAAGACGCTGCATACTGTCTTGTGAATAACTTTAATGATTACACTGATCGACCATCACGCAGTAACCAGTGTCTTGTTTCTAATTCTGTTTTTTGTTGTTCCTGAGTGAATTCTATCCGTCATGTGATGAAATCCAGCTGTTATGTCTTTGTCTGTAACACTAGATGATGAATGAACTAGGTTCGAATTTCCTATAAAGGCACGAATTTCTTTCAGTTTCCAGACTAGTCAGTCTTGCTCAGAAAGTGTCAACAAGAAAGAAAACCAAATCTAGGGCTGCTAGGCTGATTGCCTTCGACCACTTAACGACAATGCTTATAACTGCATGAAGATGGAATTACAATTATAGTAGTAATAATAATAATAAACCTATTTTACATTTATACCAAGTCATTACATGTATAAGATAAAATCGCATGAATCGTTTATCATAGAATAATAATTCTTGTAATTTCCTAACCCAAAAAGTCAACTAAACCCTATAGATCCTTGAGATGAATGAAAAGATCCTTTGTTCTGTACTGTGTTACGCTTTGTCTGAAGGACTTCAGATTATAAGGATTGATTGCCGATCACGCATATGGTCCGGGCTGCAATCCCCGACCACAGACGCACTCCTTTACCTCACTAAACCAGTAATAAGACTGGTTAAAAGGGGGAAGGTTGAACATGAGACTGGCAAGCAACCCTATCCCGTAAAAATAATCACCACTGCTACAGAAACTTCAAGCCTCTAGCTTGAATCCCTATGTCCCATTGGAAACGTAAAGGAATTTTAAAAAATCTAGGTAGTGTACTCCATGTTATTCATTTCCTCTCAAAAACTCATTTATTGCTGCTGTAGTCTGAGATCAAAGAAGGGTTGAGTAGTAGGTAACCTATGTCGATTGACATTCGTATACATAACAGGTGTGTTGGTTAGACTTTCATGATTCATCAAACAACAAGCCTTTTGACACTGATAGTATTAATATTATCATAATCTCTCATTTGTCTTATTTTTAAAAAGGTAGATTGTTTTCAATTAATTTCTTTTTTCCATTCCCTTTCTTTCTGAGTGGAACATAGAGCATTCGAATCCTGGATAACCAACTGATTCGTAGGACTAGTTTTAGACTTATCATTAGTGCAAAGCTACTACCAAGGTTCGAACCTACAACATTTTGGTCACAAAGCGAGCTAGTTCGTAGACATTTCAGCCACTGGAACTCGACTCCTCTGTGACCAGCCCATGAATTTCAACTTCTACCTTTTCGTGACTGCTTTTAGTGCGACTGGTACCAGGCAGTGTCACTGCTGGCTAGCATTTTTCCTCACTGGTGACCACTTGGTGGACTCCATTGGTCACGACTTCTCACTGGAAATCCAGGCGAATTCGTCATGTAGACTAGTGAGGAGACGGTTCCCAGTGGTTGAATTGTCTATGAGCTGTATTGATTATTATTTCAAACTCAACTTTCATTTCCCCTTTTGGCGCATAATTTCTCATTTCTGCTAGCTTATGATATAGTGCAAAAATATCACATGATGACCTAAAGTATACATGTTTACATCAACAGTCAGTGCTTCTTATTAACTACTACCTGGAAAACGTTAACTTAAAGTTCATCAGTGATTGGCTAGTTTCAACAGGGAACTTTGCACAGATGCACACCAGTTCCAGTTGCCATTATTCCTCCTTGTGGTACACGAAGCAAGAGAAGAGAGGTTCAAAAGTGAGAGTAGAGTTTCATTGGAAAAGACTGATAAGTCACAAAGAGTGAATACATCTACGCTGTCATTGAGAACGAGGATTCTAAACCAGATAACCAGATGTTTCCAGCCTTTGCTGGCTCTTACCATCCCGAGGACCCCAACCAACCAGTCAGGCAGTCTACACCTTCCTACGTAGTTGGATGGCTTGCCTTAACTAATTGTTATGGATTTGATTGACTGATGAAGTCATGTTTTCGTTCGATCACCACTAAGTCTTTTCCAACTTAGCGAATCCCATGTCAGCTAACACTGCCTATTGTTGAGGAAGGCATGCTCAGCGATACATGTCTTAAACATCTCTCTCAATCGATATGACTTCATAACCTCGTACCTAAAGGCAGCCAAATCAGTAATTTAAACATTGGATAACTATTGTGCTCATTTATCAGCTGTGTAGTCGGTTTGAGGCAGTTTACTTAACCAAATCAGGTAAAGTCAATGAAATTTTAGCTAGCTACTCAACTGGTTAGATCATCTGAATGGGATATGCTTTCGTTACAAGGGGTGAAATGAACAGCAATCAATACATTTATGAACTATAAGTATCCAGACTGTAGATGCAACGAATTTCCTATAATAATTTGAGCACTGAGTCAGATTGAATCATTCTAACTCGTTTCAAACAGTCTCAGCGTGTTTAAGTGTCATTCCTACATAGAAAGGAGACAGCTGAACATCTTCAAAGTGTACTTGCTTCATATAATATTAAAGTCTATTTTAAGCTCTATAATTCTTTAGTGAAAGCATTGGTGACTAAGTGTAAAAGATATGTTTCGCAAAATGAGACAAAATAAGTGTGTCTATAGGATAAAATGCTCAGAATGTGAGGCTTTCCATAATAGGTAGTGGAAAGCAGTCGACAGATGATGGTCAGAGTGAACAAAGACAGGCAAAGCACAAAATGTCCGTCTCGAAATGAAGTAGAATTAAAGGAGATCTCAGCATGTTTAATAAAAGAAAATCAAAACAAGATTGCTTCTGAACATTTCGTGGTGTAAGCCACAGCTTCTTCTTCAACAGAATTACTCGGATTTTATTAACCATCAAAATATGTAATCGAAGATAACGTAAATTGAAGTCGGTCCCTTTGAAAGTCACTTGTCGACAGACAGTCGTAACATATCTGTAGTGACTAACGTCTAATTGTCATACACGCGTATTTGTCTGCATGAGCGTGTGTGTGTATGTGTGTGTATGTTGTTTGTTATATGGAAAACACGTCAAAACATGATAATATTTTTACAGAGGATTGAATATTTCTTGTATTTTCTCTCATCCGGTTTACTATATAAGAGTCTGTCATGTAGGTGGTGATAAGTCTCTCCCTTCTCTCTCCACTTACTGCTATTCGATGTGGTTAGAATATTCAGGGTTGGCTTCAGAGGTCAGCTTTTCTTCATATGTTGAATGAAATCCTCTTTCTAGAATTTCCACATTGGCTAAATTGATAATATATTCCACTGTCTAGTAGTATGCATTGCTATAGCTGATCACTTTTCTAGACTCTTTAAGTGATTTATAATCATTTATGAATTATTAACGTAAGAGTAAGTCAAAATATCTTTAAACAGCATCCTTTGAGGTGATAGTAGACTTTGTATCTAACTGTAAGGCTGATAATAGTTCTAGTCTGAATGATAAAATTGCCTTGAAATCTACCTTTACCATCCCAATAAACTTGTCAGCATAAAAGTTATTTTCTATAGTTGGTTTGTTAGGGATTAGTTTTGTTTTTACGAGTTAATCACGGATTGATATCAGTTAAAGAACCACTGTCCCACCGACGACACTGATTGGGGTCGCGCTAAATCACGAATTCGACCCATTGAATCGGGTCCCAGTGGCTGAATGGTATACGAGCTTGCCTTGTAATCGTAGGGCCTGGGTTTGAACCCTGTCGGAGGGTGCGTACTACTGACGATTCCCAAACTATGATGAAACAGCTATCCAGTACTCTCAGGTTTTCTTATGGTTCTCTAACTGATATCAATCCGTGATCAACTCGTAAAAACAAAATTTATTTCCTGAAAAACTTCAGATGATTTATTTTCAGACTGAATGTATATGCCTCTCCAGTTATGACGGAAACAAGTGAATTCGAACCAAAGACATCTAGACAGTGATGTAATTTGCAATAAAAATATTCATTGATTTATTGGAAGTATTTTCTTTTTTAATAATTATAAACATCTTTGCGTCAAGCTAGTTCATGAACTACTATCATTTAAAGAGCCATCAAAAACAAGAGAATTCTGAACAACACCATCTTAATTTGGGAACTTTTCAGCAGAATGCATGCATGATGTCATCAACACACATTGAACTCAGTCAGGATCAACAGTATCCGTCAAGTTAGTCACCTGTAAATATAAATACTCATAGGCGACACTGGAAATTGGCATTATTATATGTCGTATATCAATTATTATTATTTCTTTTAGCTCCTAGAGGAACATAGGGCTTTAGCCGCACGTCTCCATTGCATTCAGGTCTCTGCCAACGTCTTCGCCTGGCTCCACGCCTGCCCACATGCTTTCATCTCCTCTTCGCATATCCACCTCCATGTCACCCTCGCACTGACGACCAACTGACTCGCCGCTGCCCATTCGGGTTTCACTCGAGCAATGGCTTGTCTAGTGATGTCACTCACTAGATGGTTTCCTCAGAGTATGGCCAATCCATCTCCATTTCTTCCTCCATATTTCTTGCACAATTCGTTCCTGCTGAGTCGGTTCGCTCACAGAGATCCCTCCGTGTTGCTGATCTACTATGGCCGGACATCTGATCTTGAGTATCGAGCGGAGACAGTTGTTGATGAAGGTCTGTAGTTTGTTCGAAAAGCCCTTCGCGACACACCAAGTCTCTAATCCGTACAGTAGCACTGACTTAACATTCAAGTTGAAAATCCACATCTTATTTTTCATACTGAGTAGTGCTGTTGATCTCCACACACACTTGAGGGAAATGCAAGCTTGCCTTGTTTTCCCGATCCTCGCTTTGATATCCTCGTCACTTCTGTCCACGTGTAGTTGAAACGATGCTTCCTAGGTAGGTGGGTAGGTAAAGAATATGGCTTCTTTTAGATTTCCCTCATTTATGCTGATTGTTGTCTGTTTAGTCGCTGTGGTTTTCGCTGTTGATGTTGGCCAGGAATCTTCATCGCCTCTGTTTTTTCTACGTTCACCTGAAGGCGTATCTTCTCTGGATGCTTCTTCTGCAAACTTGTTGCTTTTCATCACTTGCATATCTTCGAGTTTGTGGGAAATCAGACATATATCATCGGTGAAGTCCAGATCCTCCAAGTATTTAGTGTGGGCCCATTTTATGCCTGTCTCCTCGTTGCCCGTTGTCTGTCACATTATCCATTCTACCGCCCACAGTCAGCAAAATCATTGGAAATAGTAGACAGCCAGCATGTTTTACTCCCGTCTTCGGTTTGAAAGATTCCGTGAGTTTCCTGTTGGCATTCCTGTTACTTGACATGCATCGTGTCGTACAACTGTTGGATGAGATGTATGATTGTTGGCGACACCCCATAGTAACAAATTAGTTGCCAAATCACCTCTCAATGGACGCTGTCATATATCAAGAAAAGTTAAAACTCGTGAGCTCCTAGACACTGCTCAATAGCCAAACGTTCAGTGAGATGACCTCATAATCTGAACATCCTAAGTTCGATAAGGTCATGGCTGTGAACTGTTTAAGATTCTCAAACGAGCAGGAGACATCTTTCTAGTATTTTATCGTTTTCAAGGATTCTCTGGCCAATGTTAGTTCCTGATCTGGTTTGAAATTGATCAATTAAAAATAATGCCTGTCTACGTCTTAGAGCTCATCACATATGAGATTTGATCAAAATGAATCAGTCTACAATGCATCATTAAAATTTCTTCTTAATTCATGAATCATCTGTAATGATTGTATATAATTAACAAATGTTTCATTATCCCTTTTTTATTTATCTCATATCTTGTTTAAATAGCCTGATAATCTTTTAGAAATGTTTACATTAGAAGCAAGTGATATTAAAATGAAAACTATGGAAACGCTACAATACTTGATTGAAATATATCATGATTATTCTGAGATTTCAGAGCATTGGAGAGAATTATGGATGAATAATGTATGTATGTTTCAAATATCCTATTTTTGTGTTCTCTTCTCTCTCTCTTTTATCAATAATTGTTCCGTAACTAACAATTTTTTTAATTAAATAGGTTAGAAATTAAAGCGTGTGCGTCGTTGGACTCTCGCCGACCATGCACATGGCTCGAGGTTCGATTCCCGGCCGACGCACAACTGATATCAGTGGTCGGTCTGCTAAATTTGGACTACCGATATCACATGCTGAAAATTCCATACTTGTACCAAAAATACTTTGTGGAATCAAGTTATAACCAAAAATAAAGATTAAAAAGAAAATAAAGTTATATAAGCGAACTGAGTGATGTAACATAATTGATGTGGTTGAGTAGTATTCAACTACAATTTGAACGAGAGTCAAGTGAACAGCAGTGGTTACAAGGGATAGAAATTTAATACGGGTGGTTGGGGGAAGAAAGTAATAAAACTAAGAAACAAAATGCGAAAATTGTATATCCGGTGTAAGGACAGGTCAGGTCGATTTTACATTTAATGACTGAACAAATTTCCTCTGTATGTAGAGTTCAGGATTTATGAATTGTGAATTGTTATTGCTTCTGCAGTTTTAAGAGGCTTGGTTCGTCGTACTCTTTTTGCAAGATTCTCACGCTTCCTGTAGATTACAACTTTGAAGTTGATTTGAAGGTTACCTTGGAGTCGAGATTCGATCAGGTGATTCAGGATAAAGCTGTAGCGGAATCGGGAGGGATCTTTTTCTCTCCTTTATAAAGCAATGACTGTGAGTAAGTGTCCGATGATACATTTGGATAGCAAACGCTGGGTTCGACTAATGTAACAAGCTCTACACAATGAAGTGAACATTACGTTTGTACGATAAGAATAAAAATAAGTTAGGGTAATTATTGTCAAGACATTTTAAAAATGTGATAAGTAAACAAATTGTAACCAGGTGGGGGGGGGGGTGAAGGTTGATAAGAGGGTAGTGGTGATGTGTTGTGAAAAAACATAGTTACTAATGTTAAACGATATCTGGAAGAAGTTGAATAAGCGTGATAAAATTACGTAATGAGATGAACAGTTATAGGGAGTTAGAAAACAAAAAACAGGCACACAAACATGAAGTTAGTAGAAATCAATATAGTTGTTGCCATGACAGTAGAAGTGGTTAGATGATTTTCTTTTGTAGACATAACTCTGGTTTCTCCAAATTAATGAATGACTAAGGCTAAGTCGAATGCGTATAGCCTTTGGTAGGTTGTTCTTGACTTTGTAGATCACTTTGAAAGAGGCGTTTGTTGAGATGGAATGGTTAGTGTTGATGAGATGTTCGATTATTGCACTTCTTAGAAAGCCACTACTACCTTTTTATAGCCATGCGGGATAGTGTTTTTGAACCCTTTTGGACACGTTACGCCTCCAAACCTTTCATAACATTTGTAATTTTTAGAACTCATACGTAATTTCCTTTATTTCTACGAAAATCCTAATCACAGCTCACTCATTAAACTATTTGTCTCATTACGTAACTGAATTAGCCTTACTCAACTTCTTTAATGTGTCGATTAACATTAATTACTATGTTTTTTGACAACACATCACCACTACCGTCTTACCAATCTTTACCCCCTTTGACCTAGTTACAATTTGACTACTCAGTACATTTTTGAAATGTTTTGACAACAATTACCCTAACTTATTTTTATTCTTATCAGCCAAACTTAGTGTACATACACATACAAAAATAAGTATATATATACATATATCTGTGATTGTACAGGTGAGTGAATGCACTCGCTGCGGAAAAGAGATTCTTCACACTGAACTACTTCTTCTGTTTTCAAATTTAAATAACTCAGTAAGGTGTATCCATTTTTGATCTCACAATGTTTTTGTCACATAGTGTAATAGTGTAGAGACATTTATAGTATTAGTGATGGCGTAATGAAAAATTTAATGACATGGAAAGAAATGATTCTATAAATACAGTAATAAGTGTGATTCCAGGTAGAGGGTGCATAGATCATATCTTCACTCTCCGATAGATCCTAGAACATAGACACACTTCTAGGCGTCCAACAATTGCCATATTTCTTGACTTGAAGGCGGCCTTCGACTCCGTCGATCGAAAGGTACTATGGCAATGTTTGACTATGAAGGGAGTGCCAAGAAAGTACATTGCACTAATCAAGGCACTCTACTCAAACTCACGTAGCCGTGTGAGGGCTTATGGGGAATTGTCATCCGAATTGATAACAACCAGTGATGTCCGTCAAGGATGTCCACTTTCCCCTTTTCTGTTTAACTTCATCATAGACATGCTAATGGAAGTATCCTTAACTGGACTTAACGACTTAGGAATCGACTTGTTACCAGGGTATAGTCTTGTAGACTTAGAACACGCAGACGACCTAGTCCTGTTAGGGGAGGATGCTGACAAAATGCAGAGTCTTCTGAACACCTTGAGCAGCAATCTTCGTATGTTTGGCATGCGATTCGCCCCTGTAAAATGTAAGATGCTGCTACAGGACTGGACTACGTCAACTCCTAGCTTAGTGATAGGGAGTGAAGTGATAGAACATGTTGACCACTTCACCTATTTGGGAAGTTGTATCAGCACTAACGGATTGATTGGTGACGAAATCTCAGCACGGATCCAAAAAGCTTCGGCTGCTTTCGCTAACTTACACCGTCTCTGGCGTAGGCGTGACATCCGGCTATCAACCAAGGGACGTGTGTACTGCTCATCAGTTCACTCCGTCCTTCTCTATGGCGGTGGGACGTGACCATTGAGAGAGGAAGACATGAAGAGATTGTCTGTTTTTGACCACAGATGTTTACGATATCTTTCTCGCGTTAGGTGGTATAATAAGGTAGGTAATGTTGACGTTAGGCGTAGAGTGTTGGGCAAAGAGGGAAAATCAATCGACGAAACTATAAAGTTACAAAGATTGAGATGGCTAGATCACATGCTGCGCATGCCTAGCCATCGTTTCCCCCGACGGGCATTACTAGCTGATATAGGTACAGGTTGGAAAGGAGTAAGTGGTGGCCAAACAAAAACATGGCCTCATCAATCCATGAAATCCCTGACAGTTAAACTGAGTCAGGTAGGGAGATGCAGAATTCCGGGTTGGGGCCCGCCCTCCAGACTCTAAGAATCAATCAATGGCTGGAGACAATAGGTGACATGGCTCAAAATCGTTGTCAATGGCGCAGATGTATTCAGTCTCTGTAATCTTTCATATTCTTTTCTACCATTACTCATTCTGTTCCACTCTTATACTTGTCTAAATTCTATTGATTCTCTTCACTCATTTTCTTGTCTACCTTTGTGTGCTCTTTGGAACGTGGCAACTCGAACTGCTGCACTTCGGTGCCAAGTTCTATGTTGAATCCAGCAGCAACAGCAGTGATTCCAAGGCAATCTGAAATTCATTTAAAGATCTTCTGCACTTACTCAGCATAAAGAACAAGATTCCAATTTTCAACACCAATTTTAAGGCAGTCACTTCTTCGATATGGGTCAAAAGCTTGCACTGTACCTCAAGAAAAGCATTTCCAATAGGCCACTGCATATTTTTATCAACAACTAACCTCTTCTTTTGCTCCATATTGATGTCCAGAAATAATTAGCAACAATAAACTCTGGGAAGGAAGCAGCGAAGAACCGACTGCCCAACAAATATGTAGAATAAAATGGAGATGGACTGGTCACATGCCAGTGAGGAGATCGTTAGGTGACATCGCGGTCAATGCAGGCTAGCCGTTGACTGGGACCAGAATGTGAAACTGCAAGTTCGATGTGAGTCCGAGGGTAATGTGAAGGAGATAGTTTGGGAAGAGGAGATGGGGTCCTATGGGCAATCCTGGGGTCAGTTAAAGAGGACGCCAGAGAATAGAACAAAGTGCAGGCGTGCTGTTGAAGCCTTATTTTCAACTCGGAACCCAAGCGAACAGCAGTAATCATAAGTATTAGACGCTTCACCTAGGGAACTAATTAAATATAGCAGTATTATTAAGAAGGTTGGGAAATCATAAACGTCAGTAAATAGGACAAGAAGAGAAAGTAAAAGAACAGAATGGGGATTTAAGATGTTAATTATCAATTTCCATAAAGAATATTTTGTCCGTATTCAAGGATCAGACAAAATAAAGTGAGTAGGCATACTTCTTCTGGATACGAAGATCAAATTTCTCCGTATTTGATTGCTATCATCTCCACGACTTACAGTAAACGAAGTAAAGTTCATCTCATTCTTTTGCATTCCCTCAATCTTTGGATTTTTAGCAATAGTGATATTGTTTTTTACAGGGTAGGTTTGCTATCCGCATGTCAAAACCTTCTTTCTTTGGCCCGTTTTACTGCCAGCTAAGGAAAGCTTGAGAGTGCATCGGTTTGGAAATGAAACTCGGACCACGTGTATAATTGGCGAGTACTCTCCTTCTGAACCACGAACGCATACTTATCTCAGTAAGTTATTGAAAACAAAGTAGATAACTGAAAACATCAACTAAGATCCACTAAGTGAAACTATTTGACAAAACCAATAGAATTGAAATCTCTACATCTCATTACTTCTGTTTATGTGCATATATACTCAAAAGTGTGACGGATAAACGCATGTTATCTATGGATGTATCCTCACTATTCACGAATGTACCACTTATGGAAACGGTAGATTACATTTTTCAAGAAATCACCGAAAGGTAATTAGACTTAGGAATTCCCTTATATAGCCTCAAAGAATTACTCCTTAAATGCACAATGAATGTTCACTTTGTCTTCAATAATTCATACTATCGACAAGTAAATGGAATAGCTATGGGTTCACAATTAGACCCAATATTAGCTGACTTCTTTTCTTTTAGCAAAACTTGAAAACGGGAAATTGAAAGACACCATCTAGAAGTTTGATATGTATTATCGATGATACATTTATCTTAAATGATAGGAATGTAAACATAGACGAATTGTTGATAAAATTCAACAACGTCCACCGTTCGCTTACCTTTACTTTTGAAGAGGAGCAGGATAGTAAACTACATTTTCTGGATGTCTTACTAAGTAGGCGAGAAGATGGGTCACTTGGGAGAAGCGTGTTTAGAAAAAGCACATTCACACCCA